TACGAATTGCTAGTTTTGTTTGATTTGTGGAATTATTGAGATAAAATGAGGCACAACCTGGTATAAAGCTACAGCTGAGGTTAACCAAATGATTTCATAAGCTTACCTCGACTTGTGCCTTCGTCAAACCAGTGTCCGTTAACGCTTTTAAAACCATCTCCTTGTACATGGTTCCCGTTCCAACCATACCTCCTTCGAAAAACCGCTCTAAAATACCTCTCTGTTCATCTGAGATACGAGTACGTTTCGCCATTGTATTTCCTCACGAAGAACAACCACTATCTCGCCGAAGGCTTACCAGACGATACGTTGCGGAATTTGTTACTCGCGGGCAAACGCGGATTATTCCATAAAGCGATTTCATTGGCTGCTCCAGACGATGCTTCAAATAAGCGGCATCAGACGGCTCAGACGGCCCAGACTATCATTTCACTTGGGTACTACCCACATTCTCGATTGAGAAATACCGGGTGTTACCCTATGAGAAAATGTGACACGGGTGTTCATTCGAGAAATTTCATTCTCACAGCCTTCAAAAATTATTTCAGTACAGTTGTGTCACTTGATTAGCGAGATGTTCTGTTATGCTTAGGATGCATCACAGATGTGCTGATGGTGTTTTATTTTCGACTCGGAAAACTTTCATTGTTCTTCACTTGTGCTCGGCAAGGTTACTAGTACTAGGTGGTAAGTCAGAAACAACATCTGAAGAAATGTATCGAGGAAACATTTCGTTGCAATATTTTTATGTCACTGAGAACTTTTGGAAGCGAGCTTTCACGAGTTTTTGCGGCTGCATAATGCCCTGCTTTGATCTTACTTCAAGCCAATCAGAGCGCGCCTATTAGTCAGAAGCCTCAGCTCTATTTTCTGGACGAAAATGTGAAACAATCAAGTTTGCATGTGGGTGTGTACACTTTTGACTAACTGACGGCACCGTCAAATCAGCGCATTTTATCCAAATTTAAAATTTGATTAAATCGCACTGAATCATTTCCCCAAAAAGTCTTTCGGAGTTCGAAGAAGATCGGATAAATTCACTTAGATTGTGGAAATAAACGATCAAAGATCGCTCAAATTTCTGTCAACATATGTTTTGATGTTCTTTTGAAGATTTGGTACTTTTTATCAGTCCAAGTGCTTTCAATTCGTGGCGCGACGCTCCGAGATTCGTCTGAAATTTTGGGGTTCAAAAGCAGCATTTTGGCGGAATTCAATTATCATCGATTTTCTCGAAAATAAATCTATATTCACCCAAGCGAAGTGTGCAGTGGTCTGTTTCACCATAAGGCCCACCTAACTTGAGCATATTAGCCGAATCGATTTTTTGTCTGTCGCCACCATATTTTGAAAATGTTCGATTTTTGGCCACATTTGCTCTCAAGTTATAAAACTTCCACGGTTTTCTGTAAACTCTAGTTGGCTGGACAACTGTTAGGATGATTTCCTTCTCTGAATCAAACATTCAATTTCACGCATCTGGCCGCGCGATTAAGGATCTCTCAGACTACAATGATCCCAACAAAAAGTTGACATCAACCTTTCTCCGTCAGCTACGAAATGAAATAGGCTTTAAACAACTGCAATTTCATTGCCAAAAGAAGTGTGTCGGACCCTTTTTTCACATGTTGTTGTTCATTTGTGTTGTTCATTTATTTGTTTCAGCAGGTTGATTAATTGGCAGCTGTAATAGCTGATGTGGACTTGCTGTCCTAACCCACCTGTCCCACCCCAGGGGAGGACATCCATCACACAGTAATCTCGTGTGTGGGAAATTAACGTCTCCTGCCCCAACCCTGCAGGAGACGGGACCTCCATTTATTCGTCCCTATCCGAGAAGACTAGAATATCTAACCATTTCTTGATGTTACAGAAAGGTAGCAAATTCTTCTCAATTATTTTAAGACCTTGAGTGTTGGCCCGGCCTGGGCTCGAACCCTCGACCTCCCGCTTTACAGTCCAGCGCTCTATCCATTGAGCTAACCGGGAGGCGGTTATCATGAGCAATCTCAATCCCTTTGGGGCTAGAGTCGAGAATATTTCGTTTCACCCCTCTTCTATAGTTTTAATTCTTTTTTGCTGAATTCTGAGAAACAACTGATCAAGACTTTAGCTAAAGAATATGTTTTTATGTGAGAAGAATTAAAAGCAAGTTTAAAATTCAATCCTGAGTCGGCAAAAGTCATAAAACGGGAGCGGGGAAATAAACGTTTTATTTTGAGGAACTAGCCTTGAAGATAAAAGATCTCAGTTTAGATAATTCATGGAAATACTGCTTGAAGTGTACGCTTATGACAGGTTTTGGGTCAGAAATAAGCTCAATTTAAGTGCTTTATTGCACCTAATGGAGGTCTCCGCTCAGACAGGTATTACCATGATATTTAAAGCAGTGATCAATGAGATCTCGTACTGCTGGCAAAGGTCAGATTGGGGTTTTTCTATCTTAATGGAACACAGCATTCAATTACCTTTTGATCAGGCACATAGATAGTCAGCTTTCTTTCACCCCGCTCCTCGAAGTACACTGTATGAAACAAACTTTGGAAAAGATCACTTTTTCATTTTCGTCCTTCATTCATTTGAATCTCTTATACCTTTTAATAGCATTCCTCTATTCTTATGTATATTCAAAGTTCACCATTCGTTATAAATACTACATGTAAAAGGATTCCCTTGTTAAAAAAACATCAACAATTTACGGATGGCTTTCGCACTTCTTCCGAAACCAATTAAGCCGACAAGAGATATCCATCTCTGTTAATGTGTTCCATTCAAGGAAATTGCAAGAATTGAAAAGCTTTTAACTCAGTTTAATTCTTTTTTCGCCGCTATTCTGGGGAACCTGAAAAGGCGTTGACGAACCAGAATTTATGAGGTAGTGTCTTGTTCTTTTCTATTATTATAGTTATTTTGCAATTTTTGTCTTTATCACGAGTAACAAAGATAATTCACGAATTAATGAAGAAAAGTGAATTATTCCCCTGTTGTAAGGCTTTAATGTGTATGCTGGATATTTGAGAATGTACATTAGAACATAATGTTCCCGATTTATGCTTTGCGCCAAACTTATGGATGCGGATTCTCTAGAAACTTTCTCTACCGAGGCGCTCTAAAATGATACCGCTGTCCTTTAAAATGATGCATCTCACATCGGCTTATTTCACCCTTTATTGTGCATAAAATTTTAACTCAGAACTCAAAACTGTTAACTGTCAAACCACTTTGTGTGTACAGTGGAGCCTTGATGAACCTTTATATAACGAAGTCCTCAGCATAGTGAACGATACTTCAGTTTCAGCTCGGCTAAAGTTAAAGTAAAATGTATGCCACATAAACTCGATATAACGAACCCTCGATATAACGAACCACTTTCGTCAGTCCCTTGGCATTTGGTTAAATTGAGATTCCACTGTAATTATCTGCTTTCAGTCCTAATGCATTGTACTCGTATTACCTGCCCTGCAGCCCATCTCCGATTGCACGTGTCTACAGTCTAATTAAGCCCGTAAAAGCTAACAGGAAAGGTCGCTTATGTCAAAAAAGGTTTGTTACTTCGGAAAGTTATTTTTTTCAAAAGTTAACCAAGGTTTTTATTTCGGACAAAGTTTGGGGATTACGATATTTTTATATGCACTCCGAATTGCGTGATATAAGATATCTGAGAATGGAAAACGCTTAAAAAACAAAAACGCAAATAACCAAGTTCTACAGGTCTTTAACTTCGGGATAAATTCGTCATTGATTTTATTTAATCTTATTCCGTCAAATATTGCCTGACTTTGGACAAGAAGAAGTTGCGAAACGATTCGTTCTTTTAAATATACGTGATGTTTGATTAATTTTTTTTTTTTTCATCCGGATTGAATATTGATATTGAATAACTCACCTTCTGTCTTTGCGCTGTCGTCTGCAATTGTGGTAATTTTCTTTTGTTTTTATTTATCTTTTAAGTTTTGTTTGCCTTTTAATTGCTTCTTTGATTTTTGTTGCCTCTTATGAGGGAAAAGTTTGCCTCACAATCGAGCTCTCTTCAAACTTGTATAATGTTATTTAGAGTTTATGCGCACTAGCAGGCAAATCTAGAATCGTCCCGACAAAATCAAAGGACAAATTTCGACTTGACAAGTTTTGTCTCCTCTGATACATCCGCACTAAAAAAATGTCCAAGCTGTTAAATCTGTCAAATACAATTAACAGCCAAAAATAACACCGATACTACATTTCACTGTAATTTTATTAAATTTAGCTTTTCCTTTCCCTTTGCTTTGAGTGGGCACTTCTGGATCTTGTGCCGCATCTACTGCTTCATTGTTGGACTGATAAAGTGACTGGAAAATTGCTCCACCGCTGTATCTTGCCCATCCAGCGTCTGACCTTCTCAAAATTTGCCTATGGATTTAAACTGTTATTACCAGGATTAATCTTAAGTTGTTTGAAGTTGTAAAATAAAGACAATCACTGCAATCTTTTGGTAAACTAAACTCAGTTCAATTACCACTCTGGTGGTGGCGTTTACGATAAATGATCGACAAATTTATCACGATTTTCTCTATTTAGTCGGTTTTGGCAAGGTTTTACCCGGGACAAATTTTGTCGACGGTGCGTCTAAAAATTTGTTCTCATCGGCCAGAATCTGTCGAGTCATGACAAACCATCCGTACTTGTAAAGTGTTGATGATGACAGAAAATTTGTCCAAATAAACAATTTTGTCGCTAGTGCGGATAGGTGCTTAAGCAGGCGGTGTTGCAACCAAATATACTAACGAGAGATTATCGCACCTGTCATTGGGTGTTGTTTACGCGTGACGATCTCCAATAGTCTTACTGGCCTCTTGTTCAAGAAACACTGCAAAGAGAATCGCTATTGATACTGTTTTGATTAGGTTGGACTAATCTTGGGAAGCAAGCAACCATCCCAGGTAAGTTCTTTCATTGTTCTTGAATTGATAGCGCTTTTGGTACTTGCCACTGCTCTACAAATATACACTAGTATGCACTGTAGTCACATTGCCTTTTATTAGGCTATCTTATCATATGTTTGGAAGAAAATGCAATGATGTCACCATCCTGAGAGGGATCTTAGAAATAGAGGAAACAAAAGCAGTGAGGCTATTGATTGCCAGGGTAAAAATCTTTGAATTTCGATTTCATACCTCGCCTAAAACTGAGTTACTAATGTAATACATATGTTATTCACCGACCCAGGATGGTGAATAATATGTTTTTTTCCTCAACCGAATTCCACCAAAATGCCGCATTTGAAGTTCAAAATTTTTAGACGAATCTCGGGGCGTCGCGCCACGAATTGAAAACACTTGGACCGATAAAATATACCATATATTGAAAAACAACATTAAAACATATGTTGACAGGAGTTTGAGTAATACACGACTGTAAATACACGACTGTATTACTCTACCTGTATGACTGGGATCAGAATGAATGCCGGGATTGGCCGAGTAAGTACCAGGTCGCTTAAGGGGCATCTTGCTTCGCGCGGCCCATATATTTGTTGTTGTCGTATGAGATGCAGAGTCCCAAAGCTTCGCAAATTCCTTTAGATTTGTCTGTTTGCAAACCTTTTTGCTTTTTATGATGGGTCGAGGTGATCATTTATCTGTGTGGAAATGTGAAAGTGACCGCGGACATCCCAAAAGGTACAAAATTTTAAGGAGAACCTTTTGCTTCCAATGCGTGAGTTTGTGCTAAAGTCCGTAATAAATTCTAGCACCTTCCGTTCCATTCCGTTTCACACAGACTCGATCCTTTTTGTTGTAGAATCTCAAAAAGCTTAAAAAATGTTTAAAAAAAAATATGTCTGCAACCTTCTCTCGCTCTATGATGGGCCGAGGAGAACATGCTAACCGAAGATATCCTGTTAGTTACGTAAATTGAAGAAAATCTGTTACTTACATTTCGCGGCAACGTTTCGTTCATGAGATTCTCACTTTCCATTACAGTAGCGATGTACAATCCCGCCCGTTCTTTTTCCTTAGGCCAATTTTCATTGGAAGTCAGTTGATAACTTTACTCCCATGGTTTTCCCCAGGAATAAACCTTTAAGAGCAGTTCTCCGAGAAAGTGAAACAAAGTTGGAAATAAAAATTTTTAACCCCCCTTCAATTTTTGTGTGGAGGTAGGTTACCTTGGGGGATAAACAAAAACAACCACATTTGGATTAGCAGATGTATCATTGCCATGGTAACCGCAGTAGATGACGTCGGCCTCAGAAAGTAAAAGTAAACAGGTCTGGTTCTCGGATGCATGTGAACCAATTCAAATGAAATTCATACAGATGGTAGAGCCACTCTCCCAGTTTATATAATTTTCCGTTAAAATATTTTGGGTTTTACAAACAAGAAGAAAATGCCCGCCTTACTATGTTTCCTGTCAGCCATTTAGACAAGCAGGAAAAACAAGCACAATCACATTCGTAATTTCTCCGAAAGTACTCTTTCTACTTCAACCAAATTAGCAGCAGAGATTACAAAGATATTAAAGTTTGTAAATATCATAAAATCTATATGGCGAAAATTATATTCTGGCCATGGGTGCTGAAGACACTTGGGGCAAACTGCAACAAAATGAAAAATTGGTAATTTTGAGGGCTCTACTACTTGGTTCAAACAGGCTTTAGAGAGACAAAATCAGCTTCAAAAGTTTTTTTAATCATCTTGTCTATTACCTATATTTAGTTGATAAGGTTTTGGCCAACGAAATATAACTTGGTACAAAACCTACCTTGAAGGTTTCAGGAATTCCTTCAGGATGCTTTCGTGGCGTGGTTCTCTCCAGTGTCTCTCCTTCCCTCGCTCCATTTTCTTGACCAAATCTAGCGCAGACTCTAATCTAATGGTTATTCCCATCGAATATCCAGTTTGCCGTGTTTCAGACCAGAGATGATGATACAAGTAGTCCACGTACTCTTGACAAAGAATAGTTTACAAGGTCAAAACATGGTCGAAATACTTGCGATTTCTGCCGTCGAACACCTAAATTCATCAATATTATCCAACCAGGAAGCAAAGTAAATGTTTCGAGATCAATGTACAAAGAAAATGCTTGCCTTTGAATAATCCAAAGTGACGTTTTTGGCGAAAATCAAGTCAGATATTGCGACAGTCGATAACCCTAGAATGGTGAATAAACTGAACGCGTAGGGCCGGAAGTTCGAGAAGCACGACTGCTGACCGGATGTAACACAATGTTAGTTTAATAGTTTAGTTTAATAGTTTAAAAACAAATAGTACATCGCAGCCGAGGGGCTGAATTGTATGATATTTTACAATGATATACTATGTTATAATAGATACATACAGGAGTATAACACATACAGGAATATAATAAATAATTGTTTAAACGATTGGTAGGAAATCAAAATAGGAATTGGTTTCATTTCAAATTTTCTGTTGAAAGCTCGAGTTTTATTTTACTGTAGTTCAAAACGGAAAAATTTAAGCTTACCTTTAAAGGTTAAAACAGACCAGTTTGTCATTTGTTTGGTTTTACCAGAGTGTCTTTCTGTCAAAATTTGTTCCATTTCATCCTCGGACAGTGAAGCGTATCGTGACGGCGCTGATGCTGAGTCTCCTTTTCCGTTGCTTTTCTCTTTAGCCCAAGGGAAAAGGTCGGAAAGTTGTCTTCGTTTTGGGACTGGTGGGTCGAGTCTCTGTTTGTATCCATTATTGTCGCGAAATATATTACTTTTCCCGCACTAACAATGGCCGCTCGCGCGAAAAAAATTCTGGCGAGGCGATTTGCTCACGCTATTAGCGTGCACTATCGGGATTTTGAGCACGCTTACGTATACTGAATTTGATTGCGTGGCTCTGCTAGTTAGGTTATAATCAGTTATGATACATTAAATTCTGATCG